AAAATAATAAGAAACAAATTATTTAAGAAAATAATTATTAAAAATAAAACAATAAGATTTAAAAAATTATGAAAAAGTAAATAAGATAAATACAAATGTAAAAAAAAAAATATTGATAAAAAAAATAAATAAAAATTAAAAAAATAAAAAGTGATAAGAAAGTAAAAAAATAAATAAAGAAACAGTAAAAAAAAATTGAAACTAACCCCGCCGCCCTGCCATCTGGTTGCCATTCTCCATTGATAGGAAGGAGGGGGGGTTGGCGGGCATGTTGCGGAACCTGTCCTTGGGGCGGCAGGGTGAGTAAATCCGGCCCTGCCAACATTGCAAAATGTATAATAATAGTGTGTGACTTTAGTCGGTCCCAGCAGAAGCCAAGTGTCCAGCGTGTGTGCATTATGTAAAGAGATTGACATTTTGATGATTCCGCTAAAGTATTATTTTAAAAAGAAAATTACAACGTTTAAAATGATATTTTTATTATTAGTGGAATAACAAATAAATTAGAAGAAAACAAAATGAGGGAGGAGCTAGCTACACAGAAATGTACATACAATATCTACATATTAACAGGACCATTGTCACAAGGTGCCGGAACGTCATGGAACAGAACTGTGAGGTCTGTGTGAAGCCAACGACACCCGTCGCTGGTTATGGGAGTTTATCGCCATCTATGTAGACAGAGGGGCGCAAAATGATTCAACTTTGTATTCGTTTTCTGTCCCCTTTTTCTCTATTTATTCTCATGCATTTGTGGAATCCATGGTGCTCAGCCTTAGCAATGTGCAGAGAGTCGGTGGGATTAGGAGCCTCAATGTGAACGTTTCTAAAGCGACCTACAAATTATTCTCTGGGGGTACTTAGTTCCAGCCCGCATACCTAAATTTGACCCAAACATAAGCACCTTCTATTATATGAGGTCGACCTGTCCAGTGGCAGGCACCCTATAGTCACACATATGTCCAATGCTAAATATGCTATTTCCCAACACTTACAAAGACCCGATTACTTTATAAATCCCAGTAGGGACCACACACTCTCAATGGAAGATAATGACTTCACTTTCACTGCAAACAGACGACAGAAAAAGCATAGCAATCCCACGGCCGGATTTCCCACAGGGCCAACCAAGGCCCGGCCTTGGGGCAGCAGGGAGTAGAGGGGCAGCAGGGGTGTGGAATTCCTATCTCCTGATGCCCGGGACATGCAGTTCCGGGCGGGTAGCTGTTTTCTACATTTAGCCCTGCTTTGGGCAAGCAGAGCTAATTGCACAGCGGGGAAGCCGTCGCTTGTTTTATACAAGTGATCTCGGCGATGTTGCGCATTAAGGAACCTGGCATTGGGGCAGCAGAGAGAGTAAATCTGGCCCTGCATAAACCATGACCCTAAACCTGCAAAAGGTCAAATTTAGAGGGTTATGAATGATGATTCGTGATGTGTGAGGGGCTTGGTGCAAACTCAATTCACCCAAGCCCGTGCACAACTGTCACTGACACCCACAATCAGTTGCGGCCGGGGCATTCACACAGCCTGCCGCTACACAACACAAAGGGGCAGGGAATGCCCCTGCTGCTACTGATTGGGCTGGAAGGGGCAGTTTTGAGCAGGCTTGGGCGAACTCAGGCCAACTTGGATTTCCCTCACACATCACTAATGATGACCAATCATAAAATGACAGCAATACTGAATGACAAAATGGCTTTGTTCAAGGTGTAGCCCCCCTCCCCCAAACAATATATACCCCCAGACCAACAATCACCTCTTATGCCTCTAAATGCACTAGTAGGACCCCCTAATGGATCTCAACAACTCAAAAGGACCGCCCCCTTTGACAGACATTCTTACACATTATCCTCTCTCCCTCTACCCACCTATTCGGATGTTTACCTCCTCCAGACTTTTTTTGCCCACCAACCAACCTACGAGTTTCCCGCTTGGATGCATTTTGCAGTCACCTTGAGCTGTTATATCTTTGTAATGTTATGATTGCTGTGTGTACTGTAATCCTGTAAGATCGCCTCAGAGCTGGGCAACCTACACTACTGTTTACCTGTCTGTATTAAATGTTCAATAAAGACTTATTGAACAGGAAGGAGGGGCATCTCACAATGACACATTGTTCTTCCGTGCCCTTTAGTGAGCTCGTGGTGATGAGATTTTTGGGGCACGAGCTGCAAAATGTAGACCAGACCACAAATCAGGAGTGTGTGCGTGCGCTACTAATGGCCAAATATCGCAGGAAGAATATTTGTTCTTAATTTCTATAAGCTGATGTAAAGGAATCTGGATGTGAATATCTCAATACACCCGTCATGTCTGACAAGTCATAAACACTTTGTGATCTCGGACAGATGTCATGGGGCGGGATGGTTAAAGCTGAGGGTTGGTGCGGTGGCTACGGCTTTTTGCTTCCAGCGATGAATATTATCCCGTGGTCCAGGTCAGGAATGTTGCTTGCAAAGCTGTCATCTTCCTCTACAAACTCATCGCTCAGCTTCTTCCACCAGGGCCAGCGGCTGCGTTTCAGCATGGTGCTGTGGCTCTGTTTGGCCTTCAGGGCCACAGGGATGGATCTGCTGGTGAAAAGGTCGATATCTTTGTCCGTGGCTTCTTTTAGGCTGGGGGCCCCTGAAAAACAAAATTGGCACCACATTCAAAAGAAGAAGCCATTTGATGGAGCTCTCCCTGCCATAGTTTCTGGATCTACTCCCATCCATCTCTAAAGGTTTAGGTATTTCTGCCCCACACTGGACTGTTCCAGCCACAGTGGCGTCACAAGGGGGTTGCGGCCCGCACCCGGGTGACACCATTGGAGGGTTGACACCATAATGACTCGCAGTCATTTTGGTGTCACCCCCCTCTGAAAAGTCGGGCGCTCGGTCATGGACCGAACGCCCGACAGTATCAGGAGAGAGGAGGAGACCCGGCGGCATACCTTATCCCGCCGGGTGACTGTCCCCTCCTCTCTCTGCCGGTGTCCATCACCAAGATGGCCGCCGGCAGGTATCAGAATACTGCCGCGCCTGCGCGGTGACGTCATCGGCGGG